ACGGCATCTTCTTCGAAGTCGTTGGGAACAACAGCATTCGAGTATTCATCCTTGCTCCCTTCATCGATCGATGAGTTCATTAGCTAGGGTTCGAAAAGGGTAAGAGGCGAGCAGATATACAAGTCTGGTTACTCTGTATAATAAACTATGCAGCCCGGCCCAAATACTTGTTATGCGAGCATTAAAACTTAAAATATACTCCGTAAAAAACGTCTAAGTGTCACTAAGTGATTTTGATATATTGTGTTGCAAATTAGTGACACTTTTATGTCACTAGTGGCATTATTTTAAAAAAGTGTCACTATAAAAGTGTCACTGTAAGCCATTTTTCTACTAGTGTGTTGTTAAGATGACAATTAGTTAACATCTCGATATTAATTACTACTAGAAACAATCAACGAACCGATGGTTAACATCTCGATATTGATGGTTTCATAAGTAAGTAACTTTGGGTTATTAATGCACGGTCGTGGTTAATAATCTTAAGAGGGATTAATAATGTTGGTTAAACCGAAACTGTTGTGTTGATGTTATCAATCTCAATTGATTTCATCAATGAGTTAAGAGATTAAATGCTACTATCAAGTCGGTCTATGGCGGAGTTTTATACTTGGCTAATAGTAAGGGTTATTAATGAACGGTCGTTGTTAATAACTATCCTTGATGAATTGGAGATATTCTTCGATTGAGTATTCGAGAGGGATAAGTTATAGATATAACAAGGATCAACAAACATATCAACAAGTGGAAAGTAGCAAAGTCAAGTCTTTTATCTCATTAATTAATTAAAGAAATAATTACATAAACATGACCAAAATAAAGATGGTTTATAAAAATAGGATTCATTACTAGAGTAGTAATGAAATCATAGTAATTCATGTTCAAGTTTTGAACTTTAGTTACCACAGCACTACGTTGTAGTAATGAATAGTCATATTTATGTAAATAAGTTTTATTTTAGTAATATTCTCGTAAAAAACCCTTAATTAAAATCACATAAGTCGTTCATCTTAGTGTTTAATTAAATTAAATTGCTCAATCCCCCCCCCCCTCCCTTTTTATTTACTAGTTTTATAAAAAGAGAATTATTTCTTTCCTTTTGGATATGAACTCTAATTCACTATACTACGTATTAGTACTAGTAATGAATTTATTTTGACGCATATACGACAAATTGCTTGTCAATAACCGGTCTGCAGAATTTACAACCCTGAAATGATGCATTGATTCCCATGAATGCATACAAAAAAGTATTGTTTTCATTAACTTTGACTTCCAGAAAATATCCAAGATTTGTTTGTTTCACAATAATCGTGAATTGTTGCAGAAACCTGTAGGACTCTTCTAGTTTTCCTCTTAGCTTAACCATTGCCTTTTCTTTTGGTCTCCACGCTTTTAAGTAGCTTATCTCAATGCCATACTGCTATAACATATCTCTCTTTACATCCATTGCATTATATGACGTTTTTGGATCCGTTAATTTAGACTTAATACAGTCTGCTACAAAACTAGATGTTGCATGTCTTTGATCTGTTAATCTGACTTCTAATCTACAAGAATGTGTTTTTATAAACTTCATAACAATGAACCTTCTCAAGGTTCCAGTTTGTTTTGATCTTATCTCCCAACAACACCTTTTATGCAAGCATTTCGCTGCAAAATACTTCTTATTTATCTTATATACCTTGTTTTCCGGAAGTGGTTTTTGATAGCATACATCTTAAGTGCTTTCTTGAACTCATTCATGTTGATGTAAATCAGTCCTTCTTCAGGATCTACATCACCGTTAATGCAATTTGTTGATGCTAACTCCATACATTTTTGTTGCAATAGTGCTTCAGTGGTTGCATGCTACTTGTTGTTTCTTCTTGTTGATATCCCCCAAGAAACATGTTGCAAGTTGCTTCTTCATGTACATTAGCAAGGGTGATACATAGAGAGAATTTGGTCACATCTATCTCTTGTTTCTTAAGGTGTAAATAAAACAACAGAGCTGAGTTATCTTGTATCATCAATGGTAGATAATTCTCTCTGACTTTGTATTGAATTATCAATGTAGTTGATGGTCTTTCTTTTCCAATTCGGTCTCCTATATTTGCAATCGGCTCAGGATAAGACCTGTTTATAGCTAAAATAATTCGAAACACATTGAAGTTCACATACTCCATTGCTTCATTCCAATGACCATCATCATGAACAAAAATAGGAATTGTTTTCATGTTTCCTGTTATTAATAATACACATTGTTGAAGAAAAAAATAATACACATTGTTCATTCTTAATGAACTACAAATAAGTGTACAGAGCATTGCGATGTCCAGAAACAAAAACAATATTCATTCATTCATCAGTTTATTTTTCAAAAAACAAAACAAATCATTCATTAGCAATTATTCAAAAAAACAGAAACAAAACTTACATTCATAATTTCACACATATTGAAATCACTAAACGAAGTCTAGCTTCATGCTCAAAAACGCGCTCAAATTGGTTCTCATATAGCTAATAATCACACCTTGGTTTCTCAGTAGAGTTGGAGATAGCTAATCGTACTTTGTAATTACCTGATAATTTTGACGCAACCTCAGAAAACACGATCGAATTTGTGCTCAGAAAACGCGATCACACTAGGAAGAGATGAGATCGTTGGATTTGTTCGCAGCTCAGAACTCACAGTTTCGCAGTTCCGCACGCTGGAGACAATGGGTAGCTATGGGTTTCTAATTTGAAAACAACATATTACATGGCTTATTTTTGAAATATGAATCTAAGATAGTTGATGGAGTATATGGCCCAGGAACCCCCGGCCCATAGACTCCTACTTCTCCTACACAAGTTCATTGAGCCCAGGGAACAACTCAGGCCCAAAATGCAGCGGCCCAAGCCTCGACGTGGCCCAGAATACGCACTGGGGTGCCTTCGGCCTCCTTGGTCGAAGGCCCCAAACCTCACAGGGTAGCTTTCTCTGGCATAAGAGGCTACTGGGAGAAAACGACGAAAAACATGAGCCTTCGGCATTATCGAGCCCTCGGCATCAGAGAAGCCCCCGGCTAAACCATTCCTCCGGTCACACAGGGCCTTCGGCTACACAGGGATCCTTGGCTACATGGAGCCCTCGGCAACACAAGGAGCCCTCGGCCAAGCACACTCAATCATCGGAGATTCCTTTTAGAGACAGCCAACCACCGCATTTAATGCCACGTCACATCCGCCAACCGCATTCAATGCGGTAAACGTACCACTGCCGGTGCCAACCGGTTGATGTGACCCTTCGGCCGTTGGATTACTGACACATGTCCTCTCATCGCATTTATTGCTGCTATAAATAGCAGCCCATTTCTCCTTGTAAATCATCATCTACACCTCAACTCCACACGCTGAGTTCATTTAATAAAATCGACTCTCTCTCCTCCTATTTGCTCTGACTTCTCTCTAAGTTATTTCCGCAATAACCCCTCGGATAAGATACCCCCCGGGTAGACTTTCCATCAATAGTAAAATATGATATTATTTCACTTATTATGGTTGGTCGCGAAAATTTCCCATTGTTTAATTACATGGGCTTCATATTTGTGGATACCTTACACAAGATAACATGTCCACATATGAAGAAAAAATTAGATGAGCTTTTGTATATAAACGACTAAAAAAATTAAATGGCTTAGCAATTAAGATCCCATTTGGTGATCTTATTTTTTGACTTATCAGTCTTATCAGACATTTTTTTTATCAAGATGTGGGTTTTTATTTTGTGAAATAATTATGTACTGATTAAAATAAGTAAGGTTGAAGTTATGTTTCTGGCTTAAGTGATAGAGATTACTGTAGTGAACTATTTTAACTAATTTTTCATATAAGTTTTTCATAAATTAATAGACTTGGTCAATCTAGCCGCTACAACCGATTCAACTAATTCCCATGTTACCAAATATACTCTAGGTTTGATTTCTCTATTTTCAGATTGTAATTTTACTTTGCCTATTACTTTTTATCTCCAAATATATGAGGCTAGAATTTCAAGTGTGGTGTACAAGATTAAATTTACAAGAATTTCATAAATACAAAAATACTAAAACATGAGACTCAAATAAAAGCATATATGAAATATGCTTATTTAAGATAATGGTTTAAGTATTTTAAATAAAAATTATCAAAGTGGAGGGCGGTTATTTGTGTGAAGGAGTGATCTCGTATGATTATTTCCCCTCATCTTTTCTTCTTCTTCTTGTTTTTTATTCTTTTATCCTTATATATATAAACATTATTTTTATCCATTTTATTTTGCCATTTTTAGGTATATTCATCTCTTTTTATATTATCTTTTTATAACTGTTTATCTTTTTATCTCTATTTTCTTTCTTTTCCTTTTGTTGGTGATATCATATATCGATTCATGTTAGCCGCTCCAATATCTTTTGGGATTAAAGTTTGGATGTTGTTGTATACTCCTCTGGTTTCCAAATAGAGCCATAATAAAAAATTCACACTATCACATGGCAAGCCAAGCTACAAAATAAATAGGGAGTAACTTATTTATCATTGTCATCGCCATGCTCTGACAACTCAAAAAATGAAATGATTTTCCAAATTAACTACATTTTTATGTCAGAAAATTTTGTAAACTTCCACTTTTTAGATTTATTTTAAAAAAAATCACTTTTCTTTTACGTAATAAATTTATTATTCTACTTATTTTTCTCTATTTTGGAAAAAAGTCAACGACTCAATTTTACATTCATACTACATACTCCATACTCCCTCCGTATCTATTTATTTGACCCACTTTTCCTTTTGGGACGTATCAAAATAAATGTCTCATTTTTTCCTTTTTGGAAATAAACCCACCCAAAAAGCAACTACAGTACCGCTGCAGTATTGTTACAGTACCAGAAACCTCCTACTTTACATATATTTGCCTTAAACTACGTGAAAAAGCATACGGGTCAATTAATTTGATACGGAAGGAGTATTTCACATATACCACGCTAGTCAAGATCTTCAATGCAATGGGTGAAGCATTATTATGAAATAGGATCGGAGTCATTACTTTACAGAACTAACAAATGAGAGGAAGTTGAAAATAAACTTTCACAACTACTACGTATTACTTAATGATCCAAAATACAGTAATAATCATAATAATGTAAGTTCAAATACAAAGGAAAACATCAAAATCCATTCCAAATCAGACAAGCAACACTCTAGTCTTTGTTTTTGGTGTAAAGAAAAATCACATGAAACGAAGCTTAATCGTTCATATCCTTGAAAAGCTCTTCCATCGATTCCATCATCCATGGAGGAAATTTATCAATTGTGAATTTACCTAACAATGATGAAAGTACATCAGGATAACAGCTGCTATAATCTTTTCTCACGATATTACGAGGTCGAAACTCGATACCTTGAACCATAATAAACTCATAAGACCAATCAACACCAACAGACACTCGTAGCTCATCGTCGTCGCCATTTGCTCCGTTGTTGAAGAAGGATTTAATTTCTATCTCTTCCCACCCGTCTTTTTCGACCCTCTTGTTATCTCCAAGTATAGGGACATCCTTCAGGGCTTCAATGGTTGAATCACTATATTCATTACTCTCCGCCTCATATTTATCTATAACTTGGTACATCAAATAACATGAGTAATGTGTTTCCTTGGATAACAACATTTGATTTGGTATTTTGAAACAAATGTCAAACACACCATAATACACTCTGAGTTCTGCTACCTCCTTGAACCTATGTACACAATAATATACACGCATATAAAGTGAGAGACCGAATAAATAATAAATACAAATGTATCGAAAATTTGAAACTCTAATTAAACCAAGTAAAATTTCTAAAACTCTGTCTAAACTAATAAAATTGGTTAAATGTAAAGAATTATGCAAAAAAGCAATTCATAGACAAATGGTAGAGATTACGTGCAGTGCTTCATTGATACATACTCAAAATAGAAACAAAACACAGACAAATTTATAAAATAGGATTAATTGTGTTTTATTCCCAAAATATAGTTCGTTTAGTCATATTTTGGGAAGAAAGTTAAAAGTATGGTGTGATAATGTCAAAATAAGCTAATTCGACTGATTCTGCTGAGACTGAGTGATTGAGAGACTGAATTGACAGATTATGTTGATTTATGTAAAAAAAATATATTTAAAGTATATTTTACTAATAAAATTAAAAAAAATGAAAATATGGGTAAGAGGATCCTTTACAGTAATTCCGCCTATATACGGATCGGAGTGGTTAGAAAAGTAATTTCAAGTTTACTTTTTATTATTATTACATTATTACACAATTCAGAGTACAAAATCAAAAGTTACGTATATGAATATACTTCCTCCGTTCCCTTTTAATTGCAACAGTCAACATTTCACGTTTGCCAACGCACAAGTTTGACCATTAATATCTTTCATTCCTTATCAGTAAAAAATTTTAAAAATTGATATTTTAAAAATTTAGAATTAGAAGAATTTAATAATATTTTTTTAAAAATTAATTTATAATACATTAATGAATAAAATATAGTCAAAGTAGAATATGTGAATAGTGTAAAAAGTCCAATGTTGCGATTAAAAGAGAACGGAGGATAGTATGATGTTTGGTGGAAAAAAATGAGCTGAAAATCATATAGTTCTAAATTTGCGAGAATATTTGCGTGCACAGTAAAAAAATTGCCTGCACAGTAACAAACCTGGCTTTTGGTTCAGGTCTGCTAGTTAGGTCATGGACATTATTATTGGTCCCAAAGAAAGCAAGCTCTGCGGGTGCAATCATAACGCATTTCTGGCCAGAACACTTGTCCAGGTAAAACATCTGTTTTCAAGTTTTAATGTGAGCTCATCATTCCGTAAGTAAATTATAATAAAATTAACTGAAATTAAGAAAAAAATGCATCAGCTAAATAAAAAAAACAAGATGTAAAAACAGAAGTAATTGCACCTTTTTGCCTGCATCAAGGACAATCGGATTATCGGAGAGGCTGAGAAATAGATGCTTCTTGGACGGCGGCGGTAACTGAAAGGGCGGTGGAGTGGATGATTTGGAAATGATGTCGTCAATATCTGACGGCACAAATTTGTTCCAAGCAGTATCGGAGTCGGATGCTGATTTGAAACGCTTAGAGATGGTAGAAAAGGTGGTTACTTCCGCCGGCGAAGTTAAGGAAAGAATTTCAGAGATGCAATCCACGGGCAATTTTGCAAAGTTGTCCATTGTTTCACTTTGTTTTATGAAAGCAGCGTATGTGGCATACTTTTTGGTTTCTGACTTACGATGTGTTTATATGGAAGCAAAACAACGACTCTTAGAATACGTACAATTATCATGTACTAATTGTGAAATCGGTAAAATACTCATAACACTAAAAATGGAATTCATTCAATTATTCTACAACAAAATCATCTTTCGTTAGTTTATAGTACTAGTGCATAGTACTCCATCGGTCCCATTTATATTGTTTCAGTTCCTAACTTCCTATTTACTTCTTCAACACAAATCACTCTTAATTTCTTACTTTATATATCAAAAAATTATCAAATTCGATTCAGGTTTTTGCAACTTTGTAAAGCTTTAAATGTAGTTTCTGAATATATAATTTTTTTCCTAAAAATAATTTGAGTGCGGACAGGGATCTGCTTGTTTTATCGTCGGTCAAACATCGTAAACCGTAATGAAACAATAAAAATGGGACAGAGGTAATAGTTTATACTTGGTATACTGTAACAAATTTTGTTACTGAAATTCTTTTTTTTTTGCAAGAAATAAAATCAACTTTCTTTAATCACATCATAGTCCAAAGCAGAAACAATATAATGAGGTGAAATTCTTATTATATTCAAATTGAATGTTTCGCTATTAAATTATTTGAGTGTACTTTGAATGTAACTAAATTTAAATATGATTACCAACTTAGATGTTTTTAGAGACGTTTAAATTTATATTTAAATTAGAGACACAAATTGCATTTCATTTTCAAAATCTAACATCCACTTCTGTTTTGACTTTTGAGAAGTTTTTATTGTTTTGCTCTTTCTAATAAAACTAGATAAGTTACAGACTAATACTTCTGCGACTTACTGTATACATTTTGTATGTATCTTTAAATTTTGATGTCATTATGGATGATAGAATAAAGCAAAATGACTCATTAAACTGTCTGTGTTTCTTTGTTACGAAACAGACGTCAGTCCATGCAATTTTGGACGCGATTTTCACTATGGGTCATCTAGAAACAGTCTCTTTGTGCTTTAGTGCAGGGGTAAGACTGCGTACATCCGACCCTCCTTACACCAATGTAGGTGGGAGCCTTTGCGGCTTTGGGCTAAATGAAAATGAAATGTTACGTTGTAGTAGGTTCGAGTGTTCGAGTATATGTTCTCGTAATTTGTAACTCTCTTATCTTTTCATAAACTGCTAAGGTGCTCCGTGTTCCCCATCTTTACTCTATATTACTCTATAAAGTTTCCCATCTTTACTCTATTAATTAAGTAATAACAAGATGTTTTTTGCTCCTAAATATGAATTATAAATATCCTACTCCTAAACTTTGAACAATTCAATTCTCTTAAAATTAAGATTTGAAATGAAGCTTTTTGCTTAAGATCGGGAGAATTTCTGTTCAATTCCCAAGAAATGAATTTCTTAATTGTATATTCAATTCCCATCGAATTACTACTACAGTCTCCAAAGTTGATTTTAAGTATTCGGTCATCGAATTACTACTACAGTACTACAGTCTCAAAAGTTGCTTTTAATTAGCCGCAAATTCCAATGAACAATTTCCAAAAGTAATTAGAATCAGATATATAAGCAGTCAAGCAGACATTAATTAAAGAATCTTAACCGTTGATCCTAGTAGCAAACAAAGGGAGAAGGAGCAATTAGACCACTAAGGTAAAATTCTAAGAGTAAATAAGACACTAAGCTAATTTTAGGAGCAAAAAACATCTTTTTAATGAATTTATTACTCCATATATCATCTTCCCATGCCATTAATTCTATATTTATCACACTGGGGTCTTACCTAAAATTTTAAGACTAAACAAATCAAAACTCTTCGTATGTCAATGAGTTAAAGTATCTTGTACTACTTCCGTTCTCTTTTAATTATAATATTGAACTTTTTACACTATTTACATATTCTACTTTGACTATATTTTATTTAATGATGTATTATAAATAAAAAAAATACAAATATTTAAAAGGGAAAATCGCACATTTCGTCCTCCAATTATCCACCATATTGAAATCTTAGGCCCGTGTTTCAGAATTTTTAAATGTCACCCCCGATTTTTCAGAATAATTATAAATGTCATCCCTGCCGTTATAAATATTACAGACGGCGTCCGTCTTTCCAAATTTTCAGGGTTAAACTTATAACTTCGCATCCTTCTCGTTTAAAGCCAAAATTTGAGTTATCCCCGACCCTTTGTCACGCTTATCATTCCAAATTCAAATGCTTTTCTTAATCCTTTGCTCTGAATTTTTTTCCACCAAGTTTCCGTTAAACATGGCGTTCGAATAGTAAAGGTATATTGAAGCCAACATTCTCCTTTGAAGGTCGAAGCCGTGACAGAGGAAAGAAAGCTGACCAGTCGAAGGCTCGATGGGTTAGACGACGTAACAGAATAACGACAAGGGGAAGAATGAAATATATGTACGCACCTGAAGACGAAGACCGGACGAAGGAAGCTAGAGAGCTCTTCAAAACTCCAAACGGCTGAAGAATGTATGAATGAGGAGAGCTTTTGATTCAGGGCGAAGGGAGAACGCTGGAGAGTTTCAAGCAACGGACGAAGTTTTTATTATTCGATTCAGGGCTTTAAACGTAAAACGATAGGAAATGACGTGTGTAGCCCTGAAAAATTGGAAAGACATACGCCGTCTGTAATATTTCTAACGGTAGGGGTGACATTTATAACTATTCTGACAAATCGGGGGTGACATTTAAAAAACCTGAAACACGAATCTGAGATTTCAATATGGTGGATAATTGGGGGACGAAATGTGTGATTTTCCCTATTTAAAAATTCAACCCATTTAGAATATGAAAACTTGATTTTTTAAAATTTTTCACTAATAAGGAATGAAAGTTATTAATGGTCAAACTTGTGTGTTGGCAAGCGTGAAAAGTGGACCGCTGCAATTAAAAAAGAATGGAGGAAGTATAATTTAAACACCGAACTAGGGAAAATCGCATATATGGTCCCTCAGTTATCTACGAATTTAAAATCTCAGACCTGTATTTCTGATATTGTAAATGTCATCCCTCAATTGTCCAAATTGTTGTAAATGTGGCCCTTTAAATAGTGAAATGTACTCTCGCCCACGTTGTATATTTCACCCCTCAAAAGGAACACATTTACAACATTTTGGACAATTGAGGGATGACACTTACAATCTCATAAATATAGGTCTAAGATTTTAATTTCGTGGATAACTAAGGGACCATATATGCGATTTTCCCCACCGAACTATGTAATAATGTAAACGCCGAACTATTATTATTACTTCGTATTATTTTACTTGTTTACATTGTTATATTTATTATTATTATTGTTGTTGTTTATAGCTATATTATAATTATAATTATAGTTATAAATACGATTAAATGTTAATTATAATTCTAATCTCAATAAATTTAATTATAATAATTATAATTATAATGATTATAACAAGATGTTTTTTGCTCCTAAAATTAATCAAATTTATCTCAATTAATCATAATTAACTATAGTTCTAATCTCAAAACAATTAATGGGAGGATGATATATACGGAGTAATAAATTCATCCAAAGGGTGTTTTTTGCTCGAAGGTAATGGGCTCTACCCGTGCCTTTTTGATGGAGGGAGTTGATATAGAGCCCACATAGAGGGACCTCTCGAACTTCTTCCGAGCTGCGGGGGTATCCCCAGACTCCGCTCCCCCGAAAATCACCTTGATCTCGAGTTTCTTCTTCCCGCCGTTCAGCCCGAGGGACCCCTCCAGACGTTTATCGGCACTGCGATAGTCAATGTCCTTGGGCTCAGCCCCGCGTTGGTCATCGCGGCGCCAGGTGCCCAGCTTTCGGGGTGGCTGTCTCTGGCCGCCCTGCGTCAGCATTTTTGTGAACTCGCCAAGGTATCCCTGGCGGATTAGTTCGTCTATGGCCAGTCTGAGCTGGTGACAACTGTCTGTATGGCACCCCATATAAATACTCCCCTATTTTTTTTTACCCCACTTCTTTTCCTTTCAGATTCAAAACTTTACCCTATTTTCTTTTGCATTCCATCCATCGCAATTCCCGCTCCATACTCCCGCACCCACTCCACGATTCGGACCGCCATCTTCGCGGGACAACCGAACCCATCCAACGACGCCGGACAACCGAAGCCATCCAGCGACGCCGGATGACGTGCACTTGTCATGAGGTGCACTCAAAATAAATATCAATACGACACTAATACGTAGTATAGCGAAGTAAGGTAAAAAAAAAAAAAAAAAAAAAAAAAAAAAAAAAAAAAAAAAAAAAAAAAAGCGAAGTAAGGTTCGTATCCACAGGGAAAGGAATATTTCTCTTTTTAATTAACTAGTAACAAAGGGGGGTTTTTAGATTTGATTTGATTTAATTAACACTAAGATGAATGACTTAAATGAGTTTAATTAATGAGAAGAAGACTTGGCTTTGCTTTTATCCACTTAATGAAATGTTCGTCGATCCCGGTTATATCTTTAACTATCTTCCTCTCGAATACTCAATCGAGGAGTATATCCAGTTCATCGAGGGTAGTTATTAATAACGAGAAGCGTTCATTAATAAAACTTACTATCGAGTCAATATAGAACAAGCGCCGTATATTAACTTGATAGTAGCAATAAACTTAAGATGAAAACGATTGAGATTGATAACCTCAACACAAGCGGTTTATTGGTTTAATCAATATAATTAATTCCCCTTAGATTATTAACCATGAGATGCATGCATTAATAATCCAAGTTTACTACCATGAAAGAACCGAATTAATAACAAGCGTATTAATCGACCGATTCTAGTAATAATTAATATATGAAACAAAACTAGTTGATCCTTTAAGTAATGTTCAAAATATTAATATGAAATATGAATAGGAATTAATTAATACTCAAGAAAGAATATTAAAGAAGATGAATCCTACTATAGTTAATATCAAGATGTTAACTAATTGTCATCTTAGTAACACTCCCCAATATTAACGTAGAGGAAGAAATAATTATTACTATAACTAATGTCAAGATGTTAACTAATTG